GGAGGGGAGGTTAAACCATATAAATGAATAATAATGCAAAACAGGACATAAAAGCTTGTTCAAATGACAATAATGTCATTTCTTAGTAAGACCTCAACAATTATTAGATTCACCATCGATTTAATAACAACATTTCCAGGAAAAGAAAACCATCTCACTAAATGCACACGTGAAGTATAGGATACATACAAGTTTCAAAAGGATTTAAGTCCTTAATTCAACAAACATTTATGAAGTGTCTACTATGTGCCAGGAATACCAGGCACTGGAGCTACCCATGACCAAAACAAACTCCCTGATTTTATGAAGTTTACACTTTAAAAAAGGATATAGACACTAATTGTTATATATGCTGTGCCACTCAAATCCCCCCTTCAGGATTAATAGGGACGGACAGATTAGATAGACAGATAGATGGATAGATAGACAGATATAAAGAAAGAACAGTCTCATATAGTAAATGAATTGAATTCATAGTTACAAACATTCCTAAAGAAAACTCCAAGCCCAAATGGTTTCACTGAAAAATTTTACCAAACATTTAAGGAATAATTATTTATGAGGATAGCATTACCCTGACAACATACCAGGCAAAGATATTGCAAGGAGACTACAGAACAATATCCCTCATGAGCATAAATGCAAATGCAAAAGTCCTCAACAAATCAAATTCAGCAATATATAAATAGGATAATACATTATGATCAAGTGGAGTTTATCCCAGGAATGCAGGTTTTGTTCACACTAGAAAATCGATCAAAATAATTCATCATATCATGAAACTAAAAAAGTATCATATGATCATCTCAATAGATGCAGAAAAAATTTTTCACAAAATTCAACATCCATTTGTGATAAAAACTCTTAGCAATTTAGGAATAAAAGGAAACGCTGTTAACCTGATAAACGATGTCTAAAAAAACTCTATACTAACATCATATTTAATGTTAAGAAGACTGTGCAATTCACTCCTATTCAACACTACATTGGAGGGCCCGTGACAGTGCAATCAGATAAGAAGAAGAAATGAAAGGCATATTGGTCAGAAAGAAAAAAGTTAAGACCATCTCTATTCACAGCCAACATTACAATGAAAAACAAAAAGAATCTACAAAAAAACTATAAGGATGTATAAGTGGGTTTAGTAAAGTCATAGAAAAGTGTCAATTATGTTTATATACTAGCAGTGAGCAGTCAGAAATTAAAACAAACAAAAAAAAGTCTAACTGCAGTAACATCAAAATACTTAGGAATATGCAATACTTATTAAATTTAACAAAATATGTGAAAGATTTGTAATAAGAAAACAACAAAACATTGACCTAAAATAATGGAATGATATATCTTGTGCGTGGATTGAAAGACTCAATATTATTAACATGTCAATTTTCTCCCCAATTATCTACAGACTCAATGCATTTCCAATCAAAATTACAACAGGCTTTTTGTGTTTTCTCAAAGCTTATTTAAAATATAGTTGGAAAAGCAAAGGGCCAAAGATAGACAAATTTAAAAATAAAACACAACAAAGTTGGACGACTCATATTACTTGATCTCAAGACTTATTATAAAGCAACAGTTATTAAGCTATGTGGTTTTGATGAAAGTATACACACACAGATCAAATGGGGCAAAACTGAGTACAGAAATAGACCCACACACATATGAACAAATGATTTTCAACAAAGATGCCTAGATGAAGAAAGAATGGTATATTCAACAAATATAACTCATACCTTATAAAAAATTAACTCCAATAGATCACAGGCTAAAATGTAAACCTTAAACCATAAAACTTCTACAAGAAAATATAGGAGATGGATTAAGTGATTAATGGATAACCTATATATGATATATCCATATAATGGAATATTATTCAGTCATAAAAAGGAAGGAAGTACTGATACATGTGACAATATATTATATAAACCTTGAAAACATTATACTAAGTGAAAAAAGTCAGACCAAAAAGACCACAGATTATATAATTTCACTTATATGAAATGTCCAAAAGAGGCAGATCTATGGAAACAGAAAGAGGATTCACAGTTGCTGGAGGATGGAGAGTGATGAAAATGGAGAATGACTGCTAATGGGAACAGAGCTTCCTTTCGGTGTGATGAAAATATTCTAAAATTGAATGTGGTGACACAATTCTGTAAATATACTAAAACCACTGAATTGCACACTTTAAATGCGTGAATTTTATGGTATATGAATTAGACCTCTTTTTCTAAATAAAGAAAAAAGAAAATACAGGGGGAAAAAAACAGAAAATCTTTGCAACTTTCAGTTAGACAAAAAGCAAGGATGATAAAAAGAAAAACTTGAAAAATTGGAATTCTTCAAAACTAAAAATCTGCTCTTCAAAAGACACTGGTTAGGAAATCAAAAGATAAGTTACAGATTAAGTAAAACATTTGCAAAGCACATTTTAATAAAGGATGTATATCCAGAATATATAAAGAACTTTCATCTGAAAATGAAAACCTGGTTAAAAAATGGGCAAAAGATGAGGACACTTTGTGGAAGAAAAGATATAAATGGCAAATTAATACATGAAAAGATGCTCAACATCAATAGTCATAGAGGAAACATAAATTAAAACCACAAAAGGGAAACCACTACCAACGTATTGAGAATGGCTACATTTTTAAAAACCGACCATTTGGAGCACTGGCAAGGAGGCAGAGCAACTGGAACTCCCTTATTTGGCTGGTGGGCATTCACAAGGAAACCAGTTTGGTAGTTTCTTATATTCACTTACTATACGACCCAGCAATCCCACTCCTAGGTACTTGTTTACTAAAAAGAAATGAAAACAGATGTCCACACCTACCCCTGGACGAGAATGTTTATAGCAGCTTTAGTCATAATCACCAAAAACTGGAAACAACCCCAAAGTCCATCAATTGGTGAGTTAATAAACAAATTGAAACTCTCATGACAGACTTTTTAAAAATAAAAGACAGAATAAAGTAGCAATAGGAACCAAAGCAGAGTTTGAAGAAGCACCAGCTGGAAAAGTACCAAGTGGACTGCAACAAAAGAAAGACTAGAAGCAAGAAGACCAGTCATGAAATACCAGAGTCTTCTTGGAACAATCCAAAGGTATTTTTCAAATGTCCCTGCTTAACCTGGGACAGCATAAGGTAGTTCAAGGGCCATGGGAGTGACCCTGCCTGGGATCAGCTTCCAGGCTCCTCTCCTTACCAGCTCTCTGATCTTGAGCACAATTAACACCACCAACCTCACAGTGTTAATGTGGAGATCAAATGAATTAATATATGAATAACAATCTTTAAAGCGCCTGAGCTGGTTATTAGCTATTATTATTGCAATTGTTATTTTTATTAACCAGCTTTAAAACTCTCATTATTTGTTGTCACATAGTTTGAGGAACCACATGGCTCATTCTCTCTCTCTGCTTTTTTTTTTAATGAATCATAGTAAGCAGAAGATGAATCCACGCTAAAATCCTACCATAGACTTGACAGAATTCTAGTATGTCTTTCAATTGACTTCTAAAATAATGATCTTATTTTCTCATCTCTTTGAAATTTTCTAGGCATTCTACAACACAAGCAACGAGTGTCTTAACCCAAGTATTTTCTCTGTTCATATCTAAGGCACACCTCGTAAGTTCTGATACCATGTGCTGAATTTATCAGATGTCTTCTGCTCTCCCCCACATTAATACTTTTTCTTGTTTCTCTTCTAATGGTGACTTTTAAAATCAGCTTTCCATTAATACATAACACTTGGTTACTCTTTAAACACCTAAGCGCACAGCTTAAAAACACGAAAAGGTACAAAATCTTTCCTTTCTCCACACCACCTACAAAGACGCTAGGGAAAACAAATCTAGAAATCACCTATGTTTTTCCCTCTTCAGTGAAATTAAACCTCACTTCTTCACAGAGAAAGACTGCTTTTCCCAGAACTTTCTTCCTTCCTTAGTTAAATGAAGACACTGTATTAGATGAAAAAGGTTCTGAACCAAATATTTACATAATTTCAACTCTAATTAAATATATGAAAAGAACATGGGTGGCATTGGATAAAGATGATTCTTTAAAACCAGCTATGCTAACTGGTGGTAACTGGTATGATATGAAATATAATTGAACCAAATTAGCGATATCAGATTTATAAATTACACATCAAAATAAGATTTACTACAAACTTATCATAGAAGTGCTAATTAAATTTTTTATAATTTGTATATTTTCCATTTATAATGTATCTAATGTCTAAATTACATAAAGTAAACCTCTTTGCTGTGATATTTTATTTTGTTACTCATTCATAGTTTTTATATACGTGAATGAGTAACTGTCATAAAATTTCAAAAAACAACAATAAAAATGCACATTTTCTAAGTCATTTGCAGCTTCCCTCTTGCCTCTGCTATTGCTATGATCTGCAATGATCAGATTTCATACAAATCATTTAATGGCATCATATAAACTTTATTTTAAAAGGGTGGCCTAAAGGAAAAGTAAAATAAACACTAAAACCAAAGGGTTTTTTTCCCAAACACTTTTCTTTACTGTTAATACTCAACATCCACAAAATATACACACTGGTGCCCTACACAGTCGCAAAGGATAAGAATTAAGAAATAGGCATTATTTAAATAAGTTGGAATTTATTCAAAACAACGGAAATTAAACATTGATGAAATTAACCAAATTCCTAGATACTAATTGTTAATAATTAGGCTAGGTGGCAGGGGAAGTACGCCATTTCTTAATACATCAAAATATTTCAGTATTTAGTTGGGTCGGCTATTTTGGTTGACTTTAAAAGCAACTTAAATTAATTATGATAAAGAGAAAAATTATTTTCAAACACACACTAAATTTCACAAACATAAAGTGACAGAGGAAAACCCCAAATCATACCAGCAAGAAGAACCTGTTAGAGAGTATGGGAAGACACCTACCTCATGCACTAGAGCAAGAAGAACCTGTTAGAGAGTATGGGAAGACACCTACCTCATGCACTAGAGCGAGTGAGGTCTGCTTGAAACTTCGCCCTCTACTGGCCATCAGTCGATTCAAGGGTTTGCCATCTTTACTCTGATACGTTGAAATATCATAACAAAATAACATACCACCTTTAAAAAAAAAGGAAACTTATAAAAACATTTCTTGTGTAAAAATTTCACTAATTAGATTCTCAGTAATCCACATTCAATCAATCTGGATAGAGAGATTTAGAGACGACAAGAGAATCTGCTAAGCAAATTATGATTTTTGACTGTTTATTGGTGTCTAAGAAAAGAAAAAACAGAACAGAGAACAAGTTACCATACTTAATCACTTATCTACAAGCCTTATTTGTTTGTAAATAAATGAACAAACTTAAAATCTGTGACATTTTAAATTTTGTGAACTGTTACTTCTAGAGATTGTATCAAGCTTTTTTAAAGAAATAAATTTCTATTAAAGACAAATGATTTGCACATATCTTTGTGAACTGATAACATGGGTTCCTTTAGTTTATGCCCACAAGTGAACAAGTTTTCCCTCATCCTTGCACTCACACACATTCACTCTCCCTCTTTCCCTCCCTCCTCCTCCTCTAACACTTCTCCTCCCAGTCCTTCCCCCTCTGGTCACACAGTACTGCAGTGTCACGTGTGTAATAAATCTAATGACCTTGTCTATGTGGGTCTGTTTCTGGACACTATCTATTCTGCCATTGGTCAGTTTGTCTATCTTTGCACTAATACCACACTGCCAATTATTGTGGCTTTATAACAGGTCTTGATACCTGGTAATGTATATCCTCCTTTGTTATTCTTCAAGATTACCCTGGCTATTTGGTCTTTTCCATTTCCACCAAATTTTAGAATCAGTTTGTCAATTTCCAAAAACCTACTGGGATATGGATTGAGATTGACTTGAATCTACATATCAATTTGAAGAGAACTGACATATTTACAACATGGAGTCTTCTAGTCCATAAACATTGTATATCACCCCATTTATTAGGATTACTTTAACTTTTCCCTACAGCATTTTGTAGCACCCAGTGTAAGGGTTTTACACACTTTTTGCTAAATTTATTCTGGATATTTGATTTTTTTGATGCTATTATAAATGGTACAGTTTTTAAATTTCATTTTTTATTTGTTATGGTATATACAAATATATAATTTACTTTTATATGTTGACCTTCATATGTATGCAGTAACCTTGCTAAATTTATTTATTAATCCTATTTAGTCTGTAGATTATTTTTAATTTTTCTATGTGTACAATCATGTCACCTGCAAATAATGACTATTCCTTCCTAATCCTTATTATTTTCTTTTTCTTAGCTTATTACACTACTTATGGCCTCCATTATGAGACCGAATAACAGTCATGATAACAAGCATCAGTTATCTTTTTCCCAGTTTCAAGGAGTAAAAGTTTCAATATTTCAGTGTTAAGTACAAAGACAGCATTGTAGATGTTCTTTATCAGAATAAAAGAAGTTCCCTCTATTTACAGTTTAATGAGAGTCTTTTTTGTATCAAGAGCTAAACTTTTCAAAGGCTTTTTCCAAATCTATTGAGATCATCTAAAGATTGTTCTGCCTTTTTCTATTAACGTAATGAATTACATTGATTTTCAAACATTAAATTAACCCCACTTAATTGTTATGTATTATCCTTTGTACATATTGCTGAATTCAATTTTCTAATATATTTTGGGGGGATTTTTACAATTACGTTCATGGAAGAGACTGGTTTGTAATATTGTCTTCTTGCACTTGGTATCAAGATCATGCTGATCTCATCAAGGGTGTTCCTTTTCTGCTATTCTCTATCAGAGTTTATGAAAGACCACTGTTATTTCTCCCCTAATTTTCTGGAAAAATACACTAAGGAAGCCATCTGCACCTAGGGTTTTCTTTGTGGGAAGGTTCTTACAAATTCAATTTCTTTAATAAATATCAAACTATTCATGTGGTCTATTCCTCTTTCTGTCAGTTTTACAAAGGTTTATATTTTAATGAATTTCTATATCTCATCCAAACTATAAAATTGGCTAAAAGGTCTTTATAATATTCTTGTATTATCTTTTTGAATGCTGTAGGGTCTGAAGTAGTGTCTCCTCTGTTGTTCCTGATATAGCTAATCTATATTTCTACATCTTATTGTCCAGATTTACAATGGCTTTATCAATTTTATTAAACATATTAAAAAATCAACTTTTTGCTTTGCTTTGTTTTTTAATTTTATGTTTCTATTGTATTTATTTTTATCTTTATTATTCTTTCCTTTATCTTTTCTTTAAGTTTAATTTACTGTTCTTTTCCAAGTTTCTTGAGATGCAAGCTTAAGTCATGATTGTTTTCCTTTCTTCTTCTCTAATACATGCATTGAAGGAATAAATTTCCCCCCAACACTGTTTTAGCTTTATCACACAAGTTGTGATGGCTTATTTTCATTATCCTTCAGTTCAAAATATTTTCTGATTTCCATTTTGATTTTTTTCTTTGGTCCATGGATTATTTATAAGTGTATTGTTCAATTCCAAGTCTACTGGAGACATTCTAGTTATCTTTTTGTTGTTTATTTTTAGCTTAATCCCATTGTCGCCAGAGGAAATTTGTTGAAGTTTATGGTCCATCATATAGTCCTTTTGCTAAGTGTTCCATGTACAGTTAAAAAGTATAAGAATTCTATCACTGTAAGGTACATTGTTCTATAAGTCATTTAGTCAAAATTTGTTCACAGTATTGTTCAGATATTTTGTAAACTTATTGATCTTTTTACCTGCTCGTTTGTCAAGCTATTGAAAAAGATGTTTTAAAGTTTCCCACTCTTATTGTGGGTTTATCTATTTCGTCTTTCAGTTCTGCTAATTTTTGTCATATATTTTGAAGCAATGCTATTTCATATACACTGATTAGAATCATGATATTTTCTAAATAGAGTGACTTCATCTCCATAAAATGTCCCCTCCATTTCTAGCTTCTTCATTTTTTATATGTCTAGTACTTTTTCATTGTATGCTAGACAGTATATGAAAGAACTACAGAAATTCTAAATGATGTTAAACTCTTCACCTCTGTTAGGCACATAGAGTTGAAGGACTGATCATCTCAATCAAATCATGGATTGAACTGAGTGATGCCTGATTATATTTTCAGTAAATCTCAGTCTACTTCTGTTTCAACCCTGTTCCTAGGGCATGCCTCCCCCAAGATTTTCAACTAACAGTTGAATTGGTCTTTGACTCTCAATATGGAAAGATTATGGGAGATTCACATCTGTTCTTAGAGGTTCTCAGCTTACCTCTTTAACTCTCCCATCCCATAAGCTTCAAAGTTTGGAAAATGTCTTGAGGGAGACACAGGCTGTGTGTTTGAGGTCCCTTAAGTCCACAGTTTTGTCACTCAGCCACCATAAGAATATCAAGATCTCTATTGGTTTCTCTGCTTCCTGCAATTGCTAAGGTCAAGCTTGAATTTCAGCCTCCGGCTGAGGCCAGAACTAGTACACGTACCAAGGTAAAAAGAGCTGTAGTGCACCGAGGTAAAAAGAGCTGTAGATCTTCAGTGTCAATTCTAGACTCACGTGCTTTGTTTTCAGGCCCATTCTCCTGGCCACTCTTTGTTTCCTAAGCACCACAAGAATGAAGACTTTACTTTGCCTTTCAGAAGAATCAGCCTAGTTCTTTAACTTTTAGTGCAAACTCAAAATTCAGCAAATTTCTTATGAGGGAAATCTCCAACTTGTCACCCATATTAGTCAGAGTCTTCAGAGAAACAGAACGAATAGGATATATATAGAAATATATACGAGAAGATTTATTATGGGAATTGGCTTACAAGATTAGCAAGGCTGAGAAGTCCCACGATCTGCTGTCTGCAAGCTGGAGAACCAGGAAAGCCAGTGGTATAATTCAGCCTAAGTCCGAAAGCCTGAGAACCGGGAGTGCTAATGTCCAAGGGCAGGAAAAGATGGATATCCCAGCTCAAGCAAAGAGAACAAATTCATCCTTCCTCTGCCTTTTGTTCTATTCAGGCCCTCCAAGTATTAGATGTTGCCCACTCACACTGGGGAGGGCGATCTTTACTCAGTCTACTGATTGAAATGCTAACCTGTTCTGGAGAAATACTCACAGACACACCCAGAAATAGTGTTTTACTAGCTATCTGTGCATCGTTTAGCCTAATCATGTTGACATATAAAATTAACCATCACATCACCCTAGTTCCACAGAACTACTAAAAGCTCCACAGGTTTCTCTATTCTCCAACAGGCCTCTTCCTGAGCCAAGCCCCAATCCTAGCCCACAACCAGAATCTGTGAATATCCCCCAAGGGACAGGGAGAGCAGAGGACGGGAAAGAGTTCTAAAATGTTCTCCCTATCCTGGAATTTTAGTCCATTTTTTCATCTTTGCTTCTATAGTTCTCTGATGCCTTTAAAATGTGATTTCTTTTTGCCATTTATCCAGGTGTGTCTAGATGTTAGCAGCAGCAGCAGCAGCAGCAATGTCCTGCCATGACCTATTACATCCTATTTGGAAGTTGAAATTAATCTATTACATTAAAAACCTGTACCTTGATACTATGTACTATGCTCACCTGCAAGGCCAGGTTTCAATCCTGGTTGCTTGTTCATTTCATACATTTTCAAAATAAAATTGGGGATTCCTGCTACAGTCTTTCCTTGGTCGGAGCGGACACCTGCTTTTAATGCAGAGTGATATATCCCACGGGGCATATTCACCATTTCTTGCTTCACAAGTGATGTAAAAAATTCCTCCAAAGCTGAAGGAGATAAAAGGAGATCAAAAGTAGAGTAAATATGGTATCCCGGAATAGAAACATTTATTCTTAACTCATACATATATAACAACTCAGCTACACTTCAGGGCAAACTTCACAAAAAGACTAAAAAGAGAACTCTTGATTCCCATCCCTTTCTTACTCTTCCCCAAGTCAGAACATGGCACCCAGTTATTCAAGCTGAAAAACTTATAGTCATTCCTAATTCTCTTTCTAACACTTCGTATATATAATCTATTAGCAAGTCCTTCTAGATCTACTTTCAAAAATATATTCCCAAATCTATTCATCTCTCTCCCTTTTCACTGCTTCTTGTCCAGTCATTATCTTCTCTCTTCTTCATCTGGGTGAATTTCAAAACTAGTTTCTTGGCTTCTTTTCCTCATGACCACCCCTGCAAACCATCCTCTACCCAGAAGCCAGAATTGTATGTCATTCCCCTCTCTAACATCTTCCAATGGTTTTTCGCTGTACATAGAATAACATTAAAGCTTCTCACAATGACATATAGCCCCTGATTCTGCCCCTAACTTCATCTCTACCACCCGCCCTCCTTGCTAGCCACGTTAAAGACATACTTCCATATGGCCTTTTTTCCATTCCTCAATAATACAAAGTTCACATCTAAGTCAGGGGCTACTGCACTTGCTATTCATTCCACCTGGAACACACTACTCCCAGATTTCCACGTGACTGGCTCCTTCTTGTCACTTAGGTGTTTTTAGAGAGGCCTTTTACAACTATCCATCATTCCATGGCAATATCAGTACAATTATTTTAAAACAGGATAATAGTTCAATATTTCTTTGCTTGTGTTCCTTCTGACGAAGCCCAAGGTCTCTTCTGCTTGACATTTTTCCTTATTATAAGGTAACACGGAAATGTGGGATCAGAAGACAATAGGGTACCCAAACAAAATACTTGATAAGACTATAGGTTTATATTCAGGTGTTATTTTCCTAAGGACCACTAGAGGTTGCCCAATGCAGAAACAAAAACAATAAAAACATTAAAGCTAAACAAATCGTATGGAATACAAAAAAGGAAACCACTGCATGTTCCTCTTATTATAGGAACAAAAAGCAAGGATCCACCTAACTACACTGGAATTTCATTCTGAATATATCTAAGTCTCTTTTAAATGACTACGATTAAATTAAAGGCAGCAAGTACTCACTGGAGCATCTATTACATGGCCAGTTCTGTCATTCCTATATACATGCAACAAAGCTTCTCCATTCAAAGCCGTGAGAACACCTGTGTGCAATGTTTTCCATTTACCCCTCCGGATCCCCCCTCTACCTTCTTAACCCTGCTCTGTGCCCTGGAAGAATAACCTTTAACAATGACATCAACCGGCTCTCTTGTCCTCTGGCTTCTAGTTTGCTTCATCTGATGGGAGATGTGGACAGGAGATCAGAGGGTGGAAACAGTGAGGTCAGTGCACATATTCCCCAGATAACCTCCTGCAGGATTGCTACAGGTTGCCTGCATCCCTCTTCTGAAGGCTCTGGCTCCCCTTAGGCATCCCTGTTTATGACACACATGCTTTCTCTTATTTTCCTAACCCTATCTCCCCTTACCTGTTCAGGCTGAGGAACATTAACCACTGTGGGATGATTCCCTCTTGCTTGTGAATGTCCTTAACTTTGACAACACAACTGTAAATAGTGCCTTTATCAAACTCTCAATTACTCCACCTGAATGTGCCTTTCTTGTCAAGACCCTGATCAATATATCATCTAAATGAAAGAGATGAGCAACATCCAATTGCAGGCCATATACCCCAATTCCCGCCCCCCCCCCCACCCCCACACCCCTCCCGCCCCGCACACACACGCGCATGTGTGACTGCTTCAAGGTGAGTATGGGTACAGACTTTTCAGAATGTAGCTAAGAGTCATCTGTTTGTGTGGATAGAGAGCTATGGTGAGAGAAGGTAATTTCATGCTTTCTCAGAAGGGATTCTATTCTGGCAAAAGCTGATACATGTCAAGAGGGAAGTACACATCTGCACGTAGACTAACAAGAATAGCAATTTGTCTACTTGTCAAGCTCTTCAGAGAACTAAGGATTCTCAAATAACTCAAGCCCTGAGAACAGTTTAAATGAGGGTAAGATACCATGAGTACAACTGATATATAAAACACCATCTTCCCCCAGCCACTGAGCTAGCAACTAGGATTTTTTTCCATTGCCTTTGAGCCTTGCCCTTTTCTCTTCCTTCCAGATGACCAGGTGAGAATTTGAAAGAGCTGAAAATTTATAGGACACAGAGTGTTAGATATAAATTTTTTCAACAACCCAAAAGTCCTTCAACAGGTGAGTGGATAAACAAATTGTGGTACATCCTACAGTGGAATACTACTCAGCAATAAAAAAAAAAAACAACAAATAATTGATACAGGGAACTATTTGGATGGATCTCAAAGACATTATGCTGAGTGAAAAAAGGCTAATCCCGAAAGTTTACATACTGTATGAAAAAATGGTGAAATCCAATAGGTCTATAGTTTAGTTAACAGTATTGTACCAATGTGAATTTCCTGGTTTGAATAATGAACTAAGGTTACATGAGATATTATCAATGGGAGCAGCTGGGTAAAAAGTACACAGGAACCCTCTAAACTGTTTTTGCAACTTCATGTAAGTCTAAAATTATTTCAAAATTTAAAAAAAAAAAATCAATACTAGTAACATCTCTATTTAAAATAATGTAAATTACTGAACTTACTTTGCAGCTGCTTTTGTGTTGACTTGAAATGAATTAAGAGGAGAAAAGGGCCAGGATTCACTTATATTCATTGCAATCTGGGGTTTTGCCTGCAGCATCTAGAGACCTAGTATATATCATCCATCCTGTACCTTTCAGGATATATATTCCAAAAGTTGGTGCCTTTTTCCTGGTCTGTTTTGAGTTCACCAATAATTGCAGGAAAAGCGAGGCACAGAAAAATGAAGACCTCTGCCCACGGTGACACAGTTTCCCAGACACAGAGAGCATCCAGACCACCCACCTGACGCTAATTATTGAATTTTCTAGAACAGACAGCTATTGATTTCAAATCCTGCCTCCACCCCTCACCCCCCTCCCTTCTTTCTCAGGGAAAGGTGCTAGTAACCATCAAGGACAAACAATGGAGAAAATCCAGGGAATGGCCACCACATCACTACACGCACTGGGAGGACAAAAACAACAGCAAACCTATATCCTCCCTCCTTTCTCCTTCTAATAGCACAAGACTGGGGTGAGGGATCCATGCAAGAAGGAACAACACCATTAAAAAAGCCCAGGAGGACTTTTAACTCTAGGGCTATTTTAGGACACAGGAGGAACTTTGAATAACTAAAGGCTTTTCCCTTCCTTGGACTCACTGTAACTGCAGGGGAGGCCCTGGACTCTGAAGACCTTGAGGTAGGAAGTGGGAAGGACAGAAGAAAGGAACAGAGAACAAGTTTTCAAGGCTTGTTCTGGACATCAGGAGAAATGAAAAGGTGAACTCTTTGTCTAAAACATGCTATTTAGTGTTCTCTAATGAAAAGAGGCAGGGATCTGTGACAGGAGCTTTGTCTAGAACTAAATAGCATACATTTGGCTGAATTTCTCAGGAATTTCCCTGGGGGAAGAAGCCAAGAAAAAAAGCTTCCAACATTACAGGCTAGTGAGGTTGTGATTGAGATGATAAGATGACATTTCTTGTGTTTACAGAATTTAATTTTTTACATCCACAAACATTCAAGGTAGATCTGGGACATAACAAGGTAATAGATGCATGCTGGGCAAAATGTTGGCTAATACTGAAAAGCTACTTAATCACAATCAATCACCTGGGGAAATTTTTTAATAGTTGGAAAATGAAATTTACAATAAAATAATGTAAATTCCCAATCATAGTCCACAATCAAACAAATTTCTCAGATGGGACCACCCACCGTCTCTTGGGTAGGGCATAAAATAAGAGAGGCAAGTGAGTATTTCTAAATACAACACCCATATAGAATGACTACCACACATAAGCACTAGAATAATTTTAAAATGTCAGGGTCCTATAAGCTTTACACCAAAACTGAGTAATCATAAAATTTGATCATTTTTTTTAAAAGCATTAATTGATACCTCTTAAATATTGGTACTATCTTTGGAGTAACTCTATAGAAAGAATAAGTGTACCATGAAGAAACTACCCAGTAAATCTCTGAAGAGTCTAATGATCTTCTCACTTAGCTTATAGAATGAAGAACCACAATTTGAACCAGTGCCTTGAAGTCCCACTGCAAATTTGTCTTGCAGAATAAATTTAGCTTTTGAAATGAATTTTAATTTTTCAGTGAAAATGGTTGTTTAAACTAGTCTTCCAGTTCAATTTTATTTGAGTCCAACATTTTTTGGTGTGTTTTGAACACCATACTACCTCAAGTGGTCCCTATAGCAATAGATGGGTGTGTTTTGCATTTCAGATAGAAAGTAAGTACTTATGATTAAAGTAAGCTATAATATGTACACATCACAAAAGGACACAATTAAGCAGACAGGTAAAATCACTGGAAAGTGCCAGCTTCCCTGCCACTAAATAGGAGTCACCTGGTAAAACCAAAGGAGCAGTGAGTGACAACAGTTGGAGATAGCAGAAGCCAGGAACTGAAAGATCCACCTCCTTTTCGTCACCATCATCATCTTCATCTTCATCTAGCTCATCAGGAACAGGGATTTCTGGTCTTACCTGAAACGAAAGAGAAGGTGATACTAAAACACTATGTAAAATCTTTTCTTTGTCCTTTTTACGTCAAGATTTAAAAACTGAGTTAGACTCATTGCTCCATAATGTCAAAAGACCATTAAAAATTAATTTTAAAAAACTTATCCATTTTCAGAATGACTAAATGGTAAACTCTAATCATCTTATTAGATACCATCTGAGATCCCTGTAAAGAACTAATGGTAATATAGTAAAAAAAAAAAAAAAAAAAAGTCACTATAAGCCAGCATAAGCAATGATTATTATAGAAAACTAATAAAATTTTACACCATCTAACAACAAAATGCAAACACTGACACATTCAATATATTGAATTCCTATGGTTTATAATTAAATATTTGCCTTGTCTGAATAAATTTTTTTTTAATTTGTGATTCCAGCCATATCTCTATGACAAAGATTAAAATATTCCAGAATATAAAGTAGAGATCAGAAAAGGCCAGAATGCTTTAGTTGACCTTTTTTTAGACTTGAGCAGTTTGTTGCTATAAAATACAAAAACACTGAAATCTGTAATTGGTAGCTATACTTTATTATGTCTTATTTGCAATTTGAAGACTTTGCGGTTGCTCTATGATTAGTTAGGTTTGTTTAAACCAAAAATAAAAAATGTAAAAAGATTACCGCTATTGTAGTTTCCACAAGATACAACTGTCAAGCAATTAATTAAATTTTTAATACTTTCAATGACACACCATCATAATGCCCACATGGAGATAATTAAGCATTAGAGGAGGAAAGCAAAATAGAAAAAAGTGGTTGCTATAACCATAAAGTGCCAGAACCCAGTCATTACCATTAGCCTGTCTCCTGGAGTTATTTTTAGAAATAATTAACAATTCCTGCAGACTGCCTTCTTCATAGGTCCCCAAAGCACTGTTCCATTTAGGAGCTGCACTGAGTCAGGATTCTTGCAGGGGCGTAAGAGAAAACAGAGAGGAAACCCTTCTCTTAAGTCTAATAACCTTAACTCCAATGAAGCCTTTCAACCATAACTAGTGTTCTCTTCACTAGTGGAAGAGTTAAAGCAACCTGACCACTCGAGCACTGTGCAAGACAAGACTTAATTCTGATTCAATATTGAGCACCTAATTCTCAGAGGACTGAGCCAGCCATAATTACAGAGATAACAATAACGCCTGCTCCACACAGGGCATGACGGCATTTGTTGACATCAGTGCATACCAAAGAAACCCTGGCATGTTTGCAAACCTTTTGGTTCTGATAAGTGGGCTTTTCCAAGTGTCTCTGGTATGTGTACATGCTTGAAATTTGCCAGGTTTAGTATCATCAAGAGTTATCTTAGAGATTCTAACCAGTCCTAGTTGTCTAAAAAGTTCCCCAAAAGGAGCTGGTTCTGGGTCTGCGTCTTGCTTCCTGACTTTTTACACATCATAGTACAAATAAAAATGATATTTGAACAGCATATTGGGGGAAACAGACAAGCATGTTTACAGCTGGAGACTACATCAGTAATGCGAGTCACCACAGCAGGGCATCAAAGCACTGGAAAGCTCTGACATGCATCATACTCACAAGCGACAAGAGACTTGGGGAGGTAGAAGGCAGAGGTAAACACTTAAGCCGATATGAAAACTCAGAGGGATGATGAGGATGTGGAGAAATCAGAACCTTCATACACTGCTGGTGCGAACGTAAAACAGTACAGCTCCTTTGGAAAACAGTTTGGCAGTTTCTCAAAAAGTTAAACACAGAGTTACCATATGACCCAGCAACTGCACTCGTAGGTATATAACCAAGAGTAATGAAAATATATGATCACACAAAAACTTGCATACGAATGTTCATGAATGTGAATGCATTATTCATAATAGCCAAAAAATGGAAGCAACTCAAATGTCCATTAACTAATGAAAGCAAAAACAAAATGTGGCATATCTATGCAATGGAATATTATTCAGTCATTAAAAGGAATGAAGCACAGATACATGCTACACATGAATGAACCTTTACAATATTATGCTAAGTGAAGGAAGCCAGTCACAAAGACCACATACTATATGATTTCATTATAGGAAAGGTCCAGACAGGCAAATTGATAGAGACAGAAAGTAGATTAAATTGGTGGCTTAGGGCTGAGGGAGGAGAAAGGGGTAATGGAGACTGCTAATAAAATGTTCTAAAATTAAACTGTGGTTGCTCTCTGACCAGCTGCACAATTCTATGAATATGCTAAAACCACTGAATTGTGCACTTTAAATAGGTGAGTTATATGGAAATGAGAATTATATCTCAATTTTAAAAAGAAAGGAAGAGGGGCCGGCCCAGTGGCGCAGCAGCTAAGTGCGCACGTTCTGCTTTGGCGGCCAGGGTTCTCAGGTTCGGATCCTGGGTGCGGACATTGCACCGCATGGCAAGCCATGCTGTGGCAGGCATCCCACATACAAAGTAGAGGAAGATGGTCACAGATGTTAACTCAGGGCCAGTCTTCCTCAGCAAAAAGAGGAGGATTGGCAGCAGATGTTAGCTCAGGGCTAATCTTCCTCAAAAAAAAAAAAGAAAGAAAGAAAGGAAGAGGAGGGAGGAAGGAAGGAAAGCTATAAAAAGAGGAGAAGAGGAGGGCCAAGCAGCATAAGAAGTGGAAATGGAAGCTGCCACCATCTTCAGAGGGACCTTAAACTGGTATATGAACTATGCCAAATGACCAAATCTTCCACTTCCAGAATTATTTAGCATAAAAGAGATATAATAATTTTTGCACTTATTTGATCCTATCCAGTCTTTCTGCCCAGTCAACATAAATTACTTAAAATGAGTCACAGCATCCAGGCCATCAATATTTCTGAGAGCCACTAGAGAAAGACCTACTATGTTGGAGATAAAAAAAATTGATCCACTCGTCCATCTTAAGTTGTCTAATTTCACATTCATATAACTGGACACCTATTTTAATTTATCTGCTATGTCGTAAACAGCATATGTCTGCATCTTAAAAATGCATGTATGTTAATAAAAAGACTACAGAGATACTGTAATTTAAGTACAGATGATACACTCTGCCTACTTATAATGGTATCTTCCAATTTTATAATGGTATCCTTCAATTTTGTTTCTTCAAAGGTGAGTTGATTCTCCTGAACAAATTAGCCCTTATTGTTAGAACTTGGATCCAGTACACTTCTCTCCTCTTCTGCTCCCTCTCAGAGAAGCATTTGTTCCAGCTGCCCTATGCTAGCCCCAGTCTTTTCCCTTTGTGTGTAACAAGTAAGATCAAGGTGAGAACAACTAAGGAAAATCAAGACAAGTCATATGAAAGAATACTTGCTAAAGTTATAAAATTTTGGCAATTTTATTACATTAGCTGTTAAAACACCCAGGAAAACTGCATATATATTTAAAACACACACACACACACACACACATACACACACAACAACTAAGCCCGTCCAATTACAGATAAGCTTTGTTGAAGAAACTTAAACAGAGAGCCAAATATAAAATGATAAATTCCTTTTAAAATCTGCTTCAAATTGAACATTGGAAAGCTTATCCTACAAAATACCTCACTATGGGTTCTGAGCCAGATAACCTTTCAACCACCTTTCTATGTATGTAACCTATGAAAATCCAGGATTTTGTGCATAAACAGAGGATTTTATTTGGAACACGTCAAGTATCTGCATAAATTCATTTAAAAAGAGAAACAGCTTCTGATGAATGCAGTGACATTCACTCAAATCAAAGCCAAACAGGTTACAACATATTAATACCGACCCAGGATGCATAACGAGTTCTTTTATACTACTCACTTCTAAAATTAACTCCAGAAATCAACAACACAATCTATCTTAAGATCTCTATAATAAAAAGTTTAATTTTTAAACAGCTAAATATTTTTTAATGAACCCGAGTCAGAGAGAAGAGTCAATCTTCTACCTAAATGTTTATCTATTACTAATTGTTTTACCAGAAAAACAATTCTCCATAGTTTTTCTGGTTTTGTTTGTTTTGGTTTGGGTTTTTTTTTATTTTTGGCACTAAAGAAGGCAAGGGAGAAGGATAAATAGCTAAAAAGAAGAGAAGAAATACAAACTAAAAGGGAAAAATCATTTATGTGTATTTTTTTTTTTTTTTTTGGAGGAGGAGATTTGCCCTGAGCTAACTTCTGCTGCCAATCCTCCTCTTTTTGCTGAGGAAGATTGGTCCTGGGCTAACATCCATGCTCATCTTCCTCTATATTTATACGTGGGATTCCTGCCACAGCATGGCTTGATGAGCCCTGCCTAGGTCCATGCCCGGGATCCAAACCAGCGAACCCCAGGCCGCCAAAGCAGAGTGTGCAAAGTTAACTGCTGGCCCCCATTCACCTCTATTTTTTAACATTAATCAATAGGTCCTCAGTGAAGCCCCTCAAATTTTTGAATCAAACTTTTGATTTGCGTGTTTCAAGTAATTTGCAATGATATTTTTACAAACCAACAAAACAATGTAATCATTCAACATTCTCCACCTCATAAAACAGCGCCTACCCCTTAGTATATGTCCAATAAGTAATTATAAAATCAACACAAGTGTGAAGTATCTATCACTTCCATTCCCACAGAACTTCCTAATAACAAACCAATGGCAAGACAGATGAGTTAATGAATTTGCTATTGAAATCCCTAATTTTCGCGGTGTCTCATTCAACACTACTTACTACCCATTGACATTTTCCATCTTATCTGAGATGTACTGTTTCAGTCAACCCTACTCTTCCTTCTGACGTCTGCCACTCATCTTACTCCTTTTGTTCTCCCATCCTGTTAGCTTTCGATGAGTTTCACAGTTTAAATTGACGTTCATCGATCAACAAGAAATCTTTTAGCAAATTTAAAGAAAAGTAGTACTTAACAAAAGTAGCTGAATTATAATCCACAAAAGTAGCCATGTTGATAAGGGTGCATTATACCTTTTTTAAAAAAATTTCTGCTTGAAAGTCACAAAGTGCTAATTTAAAAGATTATTTCACAAGTTTCCACAAGCGGAAAGAGAGAATGTGGACGAACTTTCACTGGAAAGGTGTACAGGTAACCTTCAGTTTTGAGTAAACCAAACTGCCCTGGTGCAGAGTGAGTAACCTCTGACAACAAAGAAGAATCTTAGTTTGACATTATGGAAGTCCCTACCTAGCAGAGACTTTCGAAACAATTGAAAATATGCTCTTTTTGAGGAAGATTAGCCCTGAGCTAACATCTGCCACCAATCCTCCTCTTTTCACTGAGGAAGACTGGCCTGAGCTAGCTAACATGTGTGCTCATCTTCCTCTATTTTTTTATATGTGGGATGCCTGCTACAGCATGGCTTGAGAAGCAGTGCATATGTCCCCACCTGGGATCCGAACTGGCAAACCCCAGGCTGCTGAAGCGGAAGGTACAAACTTAACCGCTGCGCCACTGGGTCGGCCCCGAAAATATGCTTTTATAGTAAATGAACCTCAGTTGCACATCACTACCATTGTCTACAAAACAGAAGTGCGGAGCTGACTCGGTTGTAACTTTAGCCTTTGGCGACTTGTTTGGGATACGAACAAATTGATCACTTTCTGGACTTGCAGTCCTTAGGTATTCAAACAGCCAAACCGAAAATCAGTAATCAATCAAAAGAAGAACGCAGTCTCAGTCTCAGAAGCAATGACTCTCCATGAGGTGGCAGGTCCTCTATATCAGGCTGGGGGTGAGAGGCAAACTCTTTTAAACCACTTCTGTGCCCTCATCTTAATCCCAGTTGAGAATATCCACAGTAGTGAACCATTGTTACTTTTGGGAGTGAGTTATATCCCAGAAGGCGGTTAGGGCAGAAAAAAAGGTTGAAAAGCATGGCTAAAAGAGGATAAGCCTTAGAGCTTTCTTTCATAGCTCTTCACTCTGATGGTGAAAATCCAAACATGTATAGAAACCCCAACTCTAAACACATCACTACCCTTTATGTTGGAAGGTATAAAGAGCTATTTACAGCTATTCAGGGATCAGAAGTTATAGAAGAGTTAGATTAAGAAAGTATCTAATATTTGACTGAGTATAGCGCTTATTGAGTATAAACTCTAACATAATCGGAAACGGAATAAACTCTAAAGTAGGAAAAAATATTAACATACCAATATTTAAAGAAGTAGAGACTAAAGAATCAAGAGTACATGGGTGTTATTTAATTAAAGCTATTATTCCAGCTGGAATATGTCAGGAGTAGTAGCTAAAAAAAAGGTAATTTTATGCTGTGATCTAAACTAGCAATCGCTTACTAAAAATAATAATAATGAAAAGTATCTTTCCAGATGCTGCAGCTAATCTACTGGTAGGAGTTTGCATACCAAATTTTTTTTCCCTCTGAGAAAGATTTGCTCTGAGCTAACATCTGTTACCAATCTTCCGCTATTTTGTACGTAAGCTGCCATCACAGCATGGCCACTGATAGATGAGTGATGTAGGTGCACACCCAGGAACCAAACCAGGGCCACTGAAGCGGAGCGCACTGAACTTAACCACTAGGCCACTGGGGCTGACCCATACCAAATTTACATGTAGCTTTTTTCTCTTTTTCCTTTTCCTTTTCTTCTTTCTCTCTTTCTTTGTAAGAAGCTATGGGTATTGCTGGTCACTATAGTGCAGTCTGAAGTTCTACTTTTTTTAATTTGATGAGTCATAGAACACCTTTTCTTAAGGCTTCCTTTTGTGATAACTGCATGACAAGTCAGCCAATCTGTCTTTAGTCCTCAATAACATGGGAAATCCCACCTTACTTAGAATTTGGTTTTACAAGAGCCTATATTCATGGTGGCTCCAATTCAATTCAATAAACAGAAGTTTGCCTGGTTCCTACTGGCATCTAATCTTTGTATAAACTCAATTCAGAAGAAAAAGTCAACCCATCTTAACACCTGAAGACCCGAAGAAATTCACACCAAAACTTCTTGCCATTTGACCTCAAGGACAGATACTGGGTAATGTTACATATAACTTCTTCTAACACAATGTCTGTCTTATCCACTCAAGGCATTCAATAAACTTCTATTTGCATCTGAATTAGTAGTAATACTAAATGTGAAATCAGACACTTAACTCCTTAACATGATCTAATAATTTAAAGCTGGTTATACTAGATAGATACTAGAAAAGGTTGTATGTTTTTAGTTTCATCTCAAAACTAAGATAATGTCATCCTATGTATTATTAACCTTTAAAAGACAGTGATACTGGGGCCAGCCCCAGTAGCCTAGTGGTTAAGCTCAGCACGCTCTGCTTCGATAGCCTGGTTTCAGTTCCCAGGTGCAGACCTACACTGCTCTGTTAGTGGCCATGCCATGCTGGCAGCCCACATACTAAAAAAATACAGGAAGACTGGCACGATGTTATCTCAGGGCAAATCTTCCTAGGAAAAAAACCCAAAAAGACAGTGATACTTTCTTCATCCAGTTCTCTGGGGCTAAGCCATACACCATTTCACGCTAAAGTAATAAACAGCAGATTTTTTTATATGGGATCTCAATTCTGTATTACAAATAAAGATCTTTGGCTGCACAGGTGGTATACAACTTTAGTCTATGAAGCCTATGCTTGCATTTCAAGTCCAAGATGGTGCACCATGGGGGCAAAACGCTTCCTACAGTGGCACAGATCTTCTGGAGTAAGCCACGGGCACAGGCATGCAGTCCTGTACCCAGTCACCTTAAGGAGATTTCATTTGCACCATAGGTGTCTTCCAACTGCTTCAAAGAGATTTAAATTCATCATCTGTGAAGTCTAAGACCTCTACAATCTTTTACAAGTTAAACAAATAATGAATACAAATTCTTATCTTTTATGGACAACACATCTAGCATTACATATACATCCATCAGGTAAGGATCTCCTATGAGAGGAGATGCAAATAAAGTAAAACCCAGCAGTAAAGAGGTACCAGTGAGAAAGCAAAACGGCCTACCTGTTCAGGCAGATGGAGAATGGTATGCTCTCCAGCACTAAAGTGTGACAGAGATTTATATGCAGCATTTGCTACAATTGGGTCCTAGATAGGGTAAAAGTAAAAGAAAAAAAAAGAAACAACATATATATATATGTGTGTGTATATATGTATGTGTATATATATTAAATAGCAGCTCTAAGAAGAAAGAAAATCTTCCCTCACCAACCTCAAAGTTCTATAATCAATGCTTTGGAAATGGTATTAAAGCCTTGCTTAATCTGTCCCAATGAAAAATAGAGAGAAAATAGCATTGAGCAGAGAGACCAGTAGCACTAAATTTTTATCCTAGTTTGAGCACTAACCATAAAGTTACTCATAATTGCTCAGGGCTCCATGAGATAGTATAGTTTGGTGGAAGGAGTATGAGGGTTTAGAGTCTGATAGACTTGGTTTTGGATTCTGATTCTCCAGCTACTAACAGAACAAGTTAGTCTTTTGGAACCTAAGCTCTTTCACTCATGAGTCAGGCATAACATCACTGACACCCTCTTCTCTATACTCCTTGACTGGAAATGCCATCCAAAAGATGGACTGGACTTTTTGAGCGTTTGCTTGTTGGTGGAGGAGGGCCACAGAAGGAAAGGGAAGAACCATACAAAAATATGACACAAGAGCAACAGTCCCCCTTCACATCTGTCAGCTTCACAAAGAACTAAGCGTACTTTATGGTGAAAATATATTAATGGGCATAGGTTGAGATTAAATTTTAAAGCCTAAACTTACTAATAGTCACAATTCTTTTAAAATCAAGAAACCATCATTTTGAGGGAGTTAACATTTTTTATTCTGAGTCTGATTTTACAGTCCTCTCCCCAGTTTGGTTCTGTTTCACTGACACCCCTTGTGACATACCTTGTTTTGGGTGTGGGTCCAGAGGAAGCTGAGGACTTGAACCTTAAAATTCTGAAAAATCAACCAACATCAGAATAAACTTCTAAGACAAAGATAAAACTGAGAATAAACCATCTAAGGTGGTAAATGGTGAAAATTAAATCACTTTAAAAATTATACCACAAGCTATTGACTTAATCTGTATTTACTCATCATTCATAAAATGAAAATACTCAGAAACAGACCCATCATTTAAACATATGGATATTTTAAACAGAATGAGATTTTATGATTAGGAAATTTAGAAATCTAACCATTTCTTACTGACCTCTCAAGTCCTAGTACAAATGTCAGTCCCTTCTTTTATGCTACTGCTCCTGATCCCCTATCCAGAAGAGAGCGCTCCCTTCTCTAATGGCCATATGGCACATGGTACACTTTAGTATCTAGTATGATTATCTGTGTGTGTGGTTAGCTCCCTACTAGGTTGTACACTCCTTAGGGCAGTGACTATCTTTTTCATTTCAAAGGCCTAGACCATAAAGCCCTCAAAGGACAAATATTTAATAAATAACTGAGCATGAAAAGTCATTATCTTCCAATATTCACTGTCATTTTCATTTCAGCCACATCTAACTTCTTGCCCTTTTAAATCATATAAGGTTTTCCTATACCTCCTTACTTTTACGTATTCGATTCCCCAAACTTCAGTGAGAAGCAACATTTATTAATTCTTCAAGATCCTAGTGAAACAGCACCAACTAAATAACATTTGGTTAGACTTCCCCTAAGATGCTGCTCACTCCACCACTCTCTCATAGCCCTTACATTATCTGTACTCACCAAATACTATAATTATTATTGCTTATGTGTATCTCCTTTATCAATCTTCAAGCTTTTGGAAGATAGGGACTGACAACGTGGTGTAATGGAAAAATATAGGCTATGGAGCTAGAAAGGCCTGGGTTTAGACACCAGCTTTCACTTAGAAATCACAGTTTTGGTCAAGTTAATTGTCTGGCACATAGTAGGAAATACACATTTGTTTAATGAATGGACAGACCTCTCAAAACCTCAGATTCTTTAGCTATAAAATGAAAAATAATACCTTCCTATCAGATATTAGAACTAATTGGTATAAAGGAACTAGAAGAGTGCTGGGAATATAATAGGTACTTAAAAATAGCGTCTATTATTTATTAGTATCTCTAAGTACAGTTTTAATAAAAATATTCTGACTCAATTAATGATTATACCAAGGACTTTGCAAAGCAATTCAGAAAACACACTAATTAAAATATGGACTCTATTTTCAACAAGCTTATAGTTTAATGGGAAAAATAATATATGGGTACATATACCTGTAGTATAAAATAGAAATAAATGTACTTAAAACAGTTTAGACAAAGACTTTGGGGAGCAATGGACTCCTGGTTGCAGAAAAATTCTCAAAGGATGGGATGAGTTAAACCAATTCTTTATTTCCTAAAATAGATTTTAAAATTAGAGATCAAAAAGAAAGTAATTCTAGACTGAGAGAACATTATGAACAAAGGAAAAGAGATAGAAAAGTTTGGAGGGGGATAAGAAAACAACAAGTGATTTCGTGTTCCTAGAATGCAGGAGGCAGAAAAGTAGAGTGAGGCCAGATTCTAAAAGGCCTATTGATTAGGTATAAAAAGGCTGGACTTCATTTTAGGCAAACGCAAGGCACTGAGGTAACCAGGGATAGCAATGATCTAAGAAATGCCTTGGAAAAATTACATTCAACTCTGGCTTACATCCAAACTCTAAACAGTTAACAGATAACAAAATATTTAAACAGACACAGGGATAGAGGGAAGGGGGAAGGGAGAAATGAAAGGGAAGAACGGGGTGGAGAGGAAGAGAAGGAGACGGACAGGGAGAGGCAGAAAGACAGACAGACAGACAGAGGTCTCCCTCTACATTTCTTTACTTCTGCTTCCAAGTGGACTATGGTCACTGAAGGGCTCTCCCTTTCTGGGAGGAAACTGATGGATGGAATGGCCCCAAAGCAGTCTATCTGAACAGCAGAGGAACCCTAATATCAACATAAGCATGACTATAAGCCAAAATGGGATGCCAGTGGAAAAGAATGTGAAATTTGAAGAAGAAGAAAAGCATATACTCCAACAGACAACTCACAGCCACTGGTAAGCAAATATAAGAAACCAATACACAAACTAACCTGTAATGAAACCTGAATAACTCAAAGTACAAGCAATACAAAGGTATATGAGTTCAGCCCTTGAAGACAGAAAATAAATATACACAACTTGTCCTTACTTTTGTTTTTAGTCTTAGTTCCTTATCAGCAGGCTAGCAGACTTTCTGACAACATAAGAGTACGTACCCATGAACAGTGGCCATAAAAAAAGACTGTTGGTGAATTATCTATTCTAGGAGTCTCCAACAGATTCTTTTTTAAATACCCTAAAACAAAAGCCCAGATGTGAGAATAAACTCACAATATCCTGAATTGGTTCATCATTCACTCAGCAACTCCTTACTGAATATATACTCTGTGCCAGGCACTGTGCTGGGTATTTTATCCTCAATAAGGACAAATTTTATTTTATTTTATTTTATTCACTATGTGGCATTTAGAATGACTAAAAGCATTATCCTATAATCCTGTGTTATAATGTGATCTAAAACATATAAGGGACTGTTACTGGAATCTTATGAAGGGGTGGTTTATCAAAGTCTGTGAAGCACCAAATCAAACTAAAAGTTCACCAAGACTTCAAATGGAAAGCAACTGCCGCTCTTTGAAGGAAAACAAAAAAAGGCAGACATGAAAGGGAATGTGGCTACACAAGTGGAGACATAACGAATTCACCACCCTCTCATTTCACTCAAAGAAGAGATAATAAAGGAAAGGTTAAGCAGAAATATATGAATCTTACAGCAAAGCATCTTCTACCAAGTGTTTCAGTTCATTACAATGACAAACACTGAGTAGCTCACAAAATTATGTTTTTGTCCTGACAGTTTAATTTTACAATCATCCTCATTGAGGAGTACAGATGAAGAGTATAGATATATGTGGAATATGTGAACAAACAGGTAAAAATCAAATCTCGTTGCCCAAGCTAGAAGCAAAACACAAATGACAGTATGTCTGTACCATTGGGAGGCTCTGCCCTACTTTATTAGTCTTTGCAACATTTTTAGAACTTAAAACACCAACAAAATGAACTTAAACTGTTGGCCCCATGAATTCTATTATGGAAACACTACTTTTAACATACTGACTTTTTAAAATCTTGACTATACTCTCATAATAAAAACTTGGTATCCTTTATGTAAATAAGTCTTAAAGACACAGTATTGATAAGGGTGGATATCCTCCTACTCCTAAAAGTCCATAAAGATCGCAACATGTTCTCAGAACAAAAAGTGCAAAAGGATTTTTGACAAACAAAAGATTATGAATATGTTTTTCCAAAAGTTATTATATAGCACATGTCTTTTCAATGTAAAAACAGACAATTTATTGAGCTCCAAAAGCATACCTCATATTCAGCTGTATTGACTGTTAAGGAAGGAACCAGAGAAAACAATTCACTGAGGGTCTTCAAAATGAGAGGTCTTGTGTCACAACTCAGCTTTGGGGAGAGAGCATTCCAAGTGGAGCGAATGCAAACAACCTGTGAAGCAAATAAAAAAGTCAATGCTTAACAAAATCCCAACTCATAAAAGTCCATTCCTAAAATGTACTATCTTTTACTACAAAAGGAAACTTTAGAAAAAACCAAAAACATTCCTAAAAGTTAAGATTTGATAAGGTATCCTCAAAAGAAATTATTTAAACCAATACAAACTGTTGTTGAAGAAGATCCAGCCTACCTCACTCAATTGCTTTTTCACTACTTCATTTTGGTTAACCAAGGAAATAAAACTCTGTCTCTCTCTCTCTCTTGCACAGGCACACACATACACACATACACACACACATAGTGTAGAAGAACCATTCTCTGAAACAAGCAAGGGTAAGATAATGCTAGAACATTTCTAAATCCACAGTTCTTGCAGTTTCTCAGCCCTGCCGAAACTACATCCCCATTCAGAAAATTAGGATGTTATATATAAACCAAACACTCTCAAATCATCTTACAAACTTTTAAAGGCGGTAGGAGAATAATTGTGTTATCTAAAATAATAATTTAAGACTTTGCTTTAAAAGTCACTTCAGATCATTTAAGATTGTTAAATGATAAAACTAAAGCCCAAGAAAAATGTTATTTTTAACTTGATCCAATTTCCTTAAAACAAGTATTCTTAGCTCATTTCAATGTCTGGCTTTATGGCTATTCAAATGTCTTCTTTAGTTTAATTCCAACTACAACAGATGATTTCTTCACTTATAGATATTTTATTAAAATTTTAAAACTCAGGCAGGAAGAGTGCCAACACAGATCAATTAGAAGGAGTTTAACAAGGATTAATCTTTCTAAAATACTCCAATCTCTTCTATTAAGCTTCAAGTAACACACAATTTATCTCCATTTATAAGAATAAATTATTTAGGAAAAATTACATAAGGTAGTAAGTGAAAAGATGTCAAAGATAAATGAATAATATATACTTAAGGACACAGATTAAGGAGAGGCTCAAAGGAAAAGACAGCAGAAAGAGTATCTCAGAAAACTTGGATTCAGTGCTTTTGCTCTCATTTTCTACTTTCCATGAAATAGCAGAAAAATGGTCTTTGACTTGGCATCCACTACAAATTTGGATTCCAGTACTAATGTGCCAGCATGACGATAGGCAGGTTTATACTAAGTAGCTCTAATGTTACAAATATCAGTATTTGAAATAAAAAACCAATTCTTTAAAAGCTATCAACTCAGCATCGAGTATAAATCCAGAGCGGTACACAGTACTAAGAGGAACAATAAAATATAAAACATAATCTATCCCTTCAAACAATTTAGCACCTTATCATAAAGGAAGAGAAATGTATATAATTCTAAGTTATCAGAAAACAAAAGGAACATGATTAGATCCTGAGCTATTTTCAGCAGAAAATAGTTTCAGGAGGAATCCAGGGAAGAAAGCTATGTCATTGGGTGAGAGTCATCCGAGAGGGTATCAACAGGCAGTAAGTCTTGAAATGGGACTTGAAGAAGGAATGGACAGAAATCAGGCAGGCAGCCCACAAGGAAATGGAAAGCATAAGTCAAAACACACAAAAAAAAGCATGTTGTAGGCACAGAAAGAATGAGTGCCGGTGAGGAAAGGCTGGCAGATCAGAGAGAACCTAGAATACCAAAGCAGGTTGGATCAGAATGGAAAAGAAAAGGAAGACTCCAGAGATTTCTCAGTTAGGGAACAAACAAAATTAAAATGGCACTTTTGAAAGATTCTTCTGGTAGCCTTACAGCCAAAGTGAAAGCAGTCATCCACCTCCCCAGTTCCTATTTCTCACTAGTCCCTAACATACAAAGAGCCTCGAAGGTTTTCGAAAAATCTTACACTCAATATACTCACTAATTGTCCATTCTTTCTCCTCCCTTTAAATACCTATCCAATTCCAATCTATGTTGTTTCAAGACTCAGTTCAAATCCCACTTCCACAATTAAGTTTTCTCTTACAATTCAAGCCCTCGTTTTATCCTTTTCTTTCCTCCAACTTCTAACACTTAAAACTCTGTACCACCCAATTTAGCCTTTAATTATATACTGTCTAGTATGGTTCACTATTTTTGTGAATGCAAGTTGTCTTCCCAACTAGATATTAAGTTCTTTAAAGATAATGACCATGTCTTGCAGTTCTCATTCCCCCTCACCCAACACAGTAATAAGTATAGAACAGATTATCAGTATTTATCAACTACTGATGGTACTGGAACCTGAGGAATGGTATATCTGAGATACAGAATAAAAGAATTAAAAGAACTTGGAGAATGAACTGGACAGTGACATGTTTTGGCTTAGAGATCTGAGTGAATAAATAGCATCACAGGAAAAGGAGGGGAAGCTGGAAGAAGGAGCATAGTGCAGGAGATGGCAGATGGAGATGATGAGTTCTGTTGGAGATATGTTTAATTCGAGTTGATGGAAAGACATCCAGAGAGAAATATCCTGCAGGCAAGAGGAAAAAAGGAATATAACCCAGATGTGAGGTTGGTCAACAGCAGCTTTGTTACTGGAATATTTCTATAAATCGAAATACCATGACAAAGGACGGCCTCACAGATGTCTGATGGACTTTGCAGATCAACAAAAAAGATCTCTGGCCACCAATTACAGAAGTACAAAAAGGGTCTTGACTTCCCCAAGGGTGATGAGTGAAGAGTGAGACTACATTCTCCAAGTATTTTCAAGAGTTTACAATTTTTTTTAAGTCTTCTTCCTAGAAAGTTTGAAAACTAATGCCTGAAATAGTACTTATATGAGAAGATATTCCAGAATCCCTCTCACGAACCGTGTCCTTAAACGTAAGCAAGGTCTATGTGCAGGGAATATTTGTAAACCCAGGCTTGCCCATACATAATCAGGAGCAGGAAAGCCTCTAGTAGAGAAGGCTGCTTTCTCTGACTGTCCCTACCCTGGGCCATTCTTGACCTCATCTTAGACATCTTCTGGGCCTGAGGGTTCTTTGGATTCAATCTATTACCATCTTGCTATGTCCATCCCCCAGAATGCTGTGGATCTGATCCACTAGCCTTTGACCTGCACAATCTGTCAAATTATATCGGATTAGTCAGGCTCATGGTCCTGGCCTTTCCTGGCTTGTTCTGCCTCTACTGTTCATTAAGCAATGACTTGTCTGTTTTCAAGAAACTGACTGACTTCTGGCTTCAGCAACATGATGGGCCATACCTGAAATGATTGATAAAAAAGAAAATTCCACTATATATAGCTGAGCTGAAGGGGAGGGGGGGTAGTTACTCAATGCCAGAAACAGAGAGGGAAATACCTGCCTTGAGGCATTGTGATAAAGTTGTCAGTTTCCATAACCTAGTAACTTGTGTCTAAACGCCCACCTGGAAAGAGGAGATACTGCCTTTAGCCTGTATAAGGCAGGGAGTACAAACTAAGACCCCCACATCAAACCAGCACCCTTAGTGTAACAGTTGGACTACAAACGACTGGGCTGAGAAATTAACCTAACAAAAGGCAGTGAGCTGGGGGCTGCACCACTCTGGAAGTTTACGCCCTTAACATGTAACCCAAATGATTCACACAGAAAAATAAAATAAGCCCCTCTGAAAATGAGTTCTGATAAAAAAATTTTTTAAACATTTAATGACACAGTTCAACATGAGTAAGAATCAGCAAAAAGAACAAACAGCAGAATTAGACATCCAAGACCTCCAGGTAACTGAACAAGTAGAAAGTAAAAGAAAAGTACTGAAAAGAATTAAAGACGTAAGACAAGGTATTTAAATCCCAGTAAAAAAAAAAAAAAAAAAAAATGGCATGATAGAAAAGAAGAGGTAAATTTGGAAAAGAACTAAATAGAATCTCTAGAAATAGGTATTGAAATTATTAACTCAACAGATAGGAAGTTATCCTAAATACAGACCAGAGAGATTAGAGTTACAAATTATAAAACAGAAGTTCAAAGTCAGGCTGCATTGAATGAAGCAGTCTTTCCTATGCTTACCAAGAGTTCCCAAAGAAATTTAATTTTAGGATGGCCCTGGGAGAAGTGGTTCAAGGACTGGGATAGGGAAGATATAGCATAAGTCTAGAGCATCTTATGGTACCAGAAAGAAAGGAAGTGTTCAACAAGGACTTATTGAAAGGGCATAGGAGCCATTCTGAAAGGGTTCCCAATGGTCAAACAAATAACCATGAGTCCACACTTATACAAATAAATAATTGAATAAATAAATAAGGGAGAAGGAACAGCTATTCCTAACAGAAGAATTCCAATTAATAAATGTAGAAGCAATGAAAGAAATAATCACCATTAGACAAACACCACAGGAATAACAGTCATAGGCAAGATCTGCTGACGGATGTTAAACTTAGTGGGCAAAAGTATCAGGACAAACAGGATAACTGGATAGTCTCAAAGTATCTCCTTGAAAGAATCTCTTCCTCTTAATTACAAAAAAAAATAGTAACTTTGCTGTGGAGAACCGAGGATACATCACCTTACCAAGTAGTTAAGGTTAATATGATCAAGTGATCAAAGTTAACATCAACAGTAACAAAACTTATCAACATCAAGTACCCAATGTGATACACTGAGAAAGGCACATTACTTCTGTAATATTCTCACAAAAATACATAACCTCAATCTAATCATAAAGAAACATCATACACACCCAAATCACAGGACATTTTACAAAATAACCAACCAGGACTCTTCGAAAGTCTCAAGATCACGAAAGCAAACAAGACTGACGACCCGGCACAGATCGGAAAAGAGTAAGAAAACATGACAACTAAATGCTATATGGGACCCTGGACTGGATCCCGGAACAGAAAAAAGACATTAGTGAGAAAACTGGTGAAATTGGAATAAAGTCCATAGTCTAGTTAATAGTATCACACCAATGTTAATTTCTTAGTTCTGATAACTGGGCTAAGGAAAGTAAGATGTTAACATTGGGGAAAGCAGGGTGAAAAATATGCAAGACCTGTCTGTACTATTTTTCTTTCTTTCTCTTTTTAATAACAGTTTTTTTGA